CTCGGGATTGTTTTCACCAACTTCGTTGAGTGGTCTGTGGTGTGAATTAATGTATGTCTTGAATAATTGATATCTTGAATACCATGATTTTTTAAGGGATGTTGATGCTCATAACAGCCTTACTTGCGTCAGCATATTTGGGTATAGTTCAAGAGCGCATGTATACTGCGTATGGTAAACACACAAGGGAAGCTATGTTCGTTATAGTAAGTTTTGCAAGGCTTTTTCTCAGGTGTTATCCAGTCTATGTAAGTAATGAACTCTCGCGTCCAGTTTTCTTTTACTGTTGTGCAATATACGAAATTTCAAAGTTGCAACTGTTTTTAATTGATAGTTCCTTGTGAGTGTGAAATTACCTGTCACATTGATCTTCCTATAATAATTCTCCACAAGCAATTATTTCCAAATGTTCATAAATGATTCGATAGCAACGACTGCAACAGATGAGAACGTTAGAAGGAGACAATTTTGTCTCTGGTTGCAGATTTATTGGGTTCAAGATTTTAGTGTGATAAGCGTAATGAAATTCTATGGAGATTGTACTTTTTTCGGGATTGTGTTCGCCAACTTCGTTGAATGTTCCGTGGTGTGAATTGATATCTTGAGTAGATACTAATCGTAAGGATTTTTTAAGGGATGTTGATGCTCATAACAATCTTAGCCACACTTTTGAGCAGATAAGATTATCATGCTCTCGAAGAACCTTTCTTCACGTAATTTCTTCCCTGAACTCACGTTTTTTGAGCTCGTGCACACGATGACTTGAAAAACATTGCATTGGTGAAGTAGCACCGGAATCAAGCTATTCATGTTTGATTTTGATTATGTAATTTAATAGTAATAATTAAAAGGTTCACATGTTATCAAGCATGAATTTTTTCAATCTTAGCAACACTTTTGATTTCAAAATTAAATTGTAGCACGGTGCATCGTTACCGTTCTTTGCGTTCATGGGTAACGACATCTACAACTATATGCTGAAGTTCTGCAGAAGTTCACCAATCGAATTATTCCACGTCAAAATTCCACATATGTGGGCGCTGTTATTCGCAGCTTGCGTTATGCAGTAAGCTCTATCCATTCTTTACAGCTTGGAAACGATTTTAGTCGGTTGCAAAAGGTTTCTCGGATACATCGAAGATTATTGAATTGAATTATTGAATGTTGAACGTTTCTCCAGCAAATAGGCGTTGAACGTTCGTTATTGGAATGAATATGTATTGATCACAAACGAATTCAGCATTTTTAAAACGACCATTTAGCTGATATGAACTAATTGGAAGTAATTTTTCATATAGCATAAATTCTGTACTTTCAATTCCTACGGGCGGATAACTGCTGCGAAAATTTTAGTTATCAGTGAACAGACAGTTGAGGCT